ATGTTATTCAGTCAGTTAAATTCCAAGTTCGACGTTAAGTCGAATATATATTCGGTTAATTTTATTTATTAACCGAGTCATCGATAATAATTAATCTCAGTCCGTTTATTTATGAATGGACGTTATTCAGTTCAGAATTAATAAGTTAAGTTGACGAATTATTCGAAATATCAATATTTGGATTATCGTCAAGATTCTTTGAAATTATTTTCGAAGTCACGTTTATGTTCGGAATAAGGTAAGTATTTAAGTACCAAGCTTAGTGGAATAATTGTGCATTATCAAATAATTAAGCATGTAAGATGAGCTTAATTAAAGGCTTAATCATGCCAAATTCCACTTAAATGTCGTAAGGATTTTTAGTGGAAATTCATGGGAAATTCATCATTTAACTTAGCTTGAGGTGGCATAATCTTAGAAGCCTAATTGATGACTAATCTCATGCTTAGATGACTAAGCATTTTATCACCTCTTAAGAGTTAAGCCTTCCACATTTGGCTCTCCTTCATTAGTTAAGAATTTTTCCTCACCTCTTCATTATTCATTCGGCTATATATATGTATAAGTGTTGGGGAGGATGTCTTTTTACTTAGGCATCATTTTCAGCCCCAAAGAAGAGAGTTCATAGAGAGGTTTAGTAGTTGTCTTCACACGCACACGCACGAGAGCCTAGCCGCACGCACGGAGTAGCTAGCACGCGCACAAGCACCGCACCGAGCGAAGTTCTACCGAACGTTTGAAGAGGTAATTTAGTGTTGCCTCCTCTTGATGTTAATAGGACCATGTTAGATCAGTTATGTTCATGTCATGCTCTCAAACTGTTAAATTAGCCGTGTTGCTCTCGGATATTTCATGTTAAGCCATGATCAAGTTATGTCCGTTTTTATACGACAACTCTCGTACAATTCATGTCTATTTAATCATTATTGGTCATCCTATATTAAGTCAAGTCATGTTTGTCAAAAGAAATTCAAGTTTGGTCGAGAAATGGCCTAAAGTCGTCGGCAGCGCACGGGCGCACGCCCCCGACCATTTTAGTTTAGCGATCAAAAAGACATGAAATTGAGTATATTCAGTAAATTTAATTATGTTATGTTCAGTTATGTTGAATTATATGGGAGTTGCCAGAAGATGTTGCCGGACGGCCGATAAGGATCGGCCGTGGACGCCACACCCGCACGCAGCGGGTAGTGCGCGCCGGCAGTCACGCACGCTACGCGGGCGACGTGCATGTATGCCAGGCATGTGTCGCGCACGTCCCCTGTTTGCAACCCAGTCCGCAGTAGTGGCGCATAGCGCACGGCAGTGTGCAGTAGCGCACACTTGTGCGCATGTTCGTATGCCCTTCGGCCACAGGCAATGCCTAACAGCACGCCCGCGTGGCCAGTACCGCGAGAGTCGCACGACAGCACCCGCGCGGTACCCAGTTGATGAAGACCGTGTTTCTCGATTGTCGACAAGCCGCTCCCGCACCTTAAATCGCTCGATAGGTGTTAGGAAGTTGCACACTCGCAGCCTTTCTAACGATTATAATTGCAAAAGAATTCAAGAAGAAAACTAGAGCAAAGAGTTTGAACAAAAGTTTGGATTTTTGTATTGATTTCTGAATGATTAAATTAACAAGAGGAAGGGCCTTTATATAGGCATCAACTATATCTAGTCCTAATATAACTATAACTCTAATAAAGCAATAAAATATTAAGTGTCCTAAAAAATCTAGATATCATAAAGCAATAAGGAAACTAAATATCTAGGGAATCTAACGCCTTGGCTTGCACTCCAAGTCCATGTTTCCTAATCGCCCAAGCACTAGGGCTTCATCTTCCATTCCCGCGCATGCGTCCAGCAGGTCGCCTAATCCTCGCGCCTAGGAAAGTTCGCGCGTGCATCTCGTCGCTTGCGCGTTCAAACCCGCGCTCGGCCCCGATAATATCAAGCGCGTCATCTTCCGCGCACGCTTGCCCATCCGCGTATCGCGCCTCTTCGGCACGACGACTTAGCCTCCTTCGCGCATGCCATGCGCGAATTGCTGCGTTCTTGAGCCTTTCCGCATCATTCCCGTCCCCTTCAAGTGCTTTCTTGTCCTCAAGGAAGAAATCGGGGAACATCTCGCGCATCTCGTCCCAACTTTGCCACGTTGCTTCCTCACTCGGCAAGTCCTCCCATTCGACGAGCACCTCCCAAAAATATTTCCCAGCCTTTTTGACTTGCCGGTACTCCATCGCGCGGCTTGGCCGCACCATAACCTGCCCGTCCGGCGCGACCGCTGGTAGTCTATCCTTGGCCACATGCGCTTCGCAGAGTCATTGCTTAAGTTGTGAGACGTGTATGACCGGATGAATATGGGAATCGTTCGGCAACTCAAGTCGATAAGCAACCTTCCCAACCTTGGCCAAAATTTTATAAGGCCCGTAATATCGAACTCCGAGTTTGGTCGCGACCCTTTGCGCGACCGTCCTTTGCCGAAACAGCCTCAACTTCAAGTATACCCAGTCCCCAGGCTCGAACTCCACGTCACGCCGCTTGCCATCATGGTACGCCTTCATCCTATTGATCGAGCCCTCCAACGTCCACTTTAACTCGCGCAACATCAAGTCGCGCTCGACCAACTCTCGATCGACCTCATCATTCACGACACTCAACATCGAGTAACTTACGATCGTCGACGGTTTACGTCTGTACACCAACTCGAACGGCGTCGCCTTAGTCGAGCTATAGTAAGTGGTGTTATACCAATACTCGGCCCAAGGTAAATAATTCTCCCACCGCTTTGGAAACTGATGCACATAACACCTAAGGTACTGCTCGAGTGTGCGATTGGTCACCTCTGTCTGTCCGTCAGTTTGTGGATGATAAGCCGAGCTCATGCTTAGCTCGGTTCCCTGTAATTTAAATAACTCCGACCAAAAGCTACTCATAAATATCCGATCTCGGTCGGACACAATTGACCGCGGCACCCCATGCAATTTCATCACATATTCAACAAACAATTTTGCTATAGATTTAGCCGTGTATGGATGAGTAAGTGGAATAAAATGCGCATACTTGGTAAGGCGGTCGACTACCACCATGACTCCATTGAACCCATTCAAGAGTGGCAACCCCTCGATAAAATCCATGGTGATGTCCTCCCAAATACGCGCGGGAACCGGCAAAGGTTGGAGCAGCCCGCCTGGTCGACGCGCGTCCGCCTTAGTGCGTTGGCACTCATCGCATCGCCCAACGTAGTCGCGCACATCACCCCTCAGCCCCGGCCAATAAAAAGTTCTCGCAATCCTCATCCATGTCCGGAACACCCCTGAGTGTCCTCCAAACTTCGAGTCGTGGAACTGCCGGATGATTTCCTCGCGCAACGATCCCGCTTTGGGCACGACGACTCGCCCATGATAGAGGAGCAAGCCATCGTGCATGTCATGGTCCTCGTCCTCGTCGTGTCCCACGTTCAGCTTCTCGATCACATCCCGGCAATGCGCATCCTCGTCTTTTGCCTTCCGAAGCTCGGCCCAAACGGCCCACGTCGGCCCCGTCACTGCGTCGAGCTCGGCTACGTCTTCCCGGCGAGACAATGCGTCGGCCACGGTGTTCTGGCGACCGGGTCAATAGACTATCTCGAATTCAAACCCCATCAATTTGGACACGAACTTCTGCTGCTCGGGCGTCACGATCCTTTGCTCGAGCAAGTGCTTGAGCGGCTGCTGGTCTGTGACAATCCGAAAGTGTTGCCCAAGCAAATACGGCCTCCACACGCGCACGGCCTCGACCACGGCCAGCATTTCCTTCACGTACGCGGACAAACCTAAGCGCGCTGGCCCGAGTACCTTACTGAGATAGGCCAAGGGTCGTCCTTCCTGCACCAGAACCGCTCTGATTCCAATGTCGCTCGCATCCGAGTGAATCTCGAACAACACATCAAACCTCGGCATTGCGAGCACGAACGTGGTCGTCATGGCCTCCTTCAACTCCTCGAAAGCCTTCTCGCTCGCCTCTGTCCACTTGAATGCTCCCTTCTTCGTCATCTATGTGAGTGGCTTCGCGATGGTTCTATAGTCCTTCACGAATTTGCGATAATAGCCCGTAAGACCAAGGAATCCTCGCAACCGCGTCATGCTCGCGGGCTTCGGCCACCCCACCATCGCCTCGATCTTCCTTGGGTCCACCTTAACACCCTCATGAGAAATAAAGTGCTCAAGGTATTCGACCACCTCTTGAGCAAACAAGCACTTGGACGGCTTGATATAAAATGAGTTAGCCGCCAAAATCTTCAAAACAACTCGCAAGTGCCCGAGATGATCTGTCCAGGTTTTTTAGTACACCAAAATGTCATCAAAGAATACTAACACAAACTTACGAAGGTACTCCTTGAAGATTGAATTCATCGCAAACTGAAATGTCGACGACGCATTGCACAAACCAAAAGGCATCACGAGATATTCGTAGTGTCCTTGGTGCGTGCGAAAAGCCGTCTCGGGCACGTCCTCCTTGGCCAACCTGATTTGATGGTAGCCCGCGCGTAGGTCGAGCTTAGAGAAGTAACGCGCGCCACCCAACTCGCCCAGCATGTCGTCAACGCTCGGAATGGGAAAGCGATCCTTCACAGTAGCCGCATTGAGAGCGCGGTAGTCCGTGCAGAACCGCCAAGTTTCGTCCTTCTTCTTTGCGAGCAACACCGGTGACGAGAACGGGCTCGAGCTATGCTGGATGAGCCCGGACTCGAGCATCTCGCCCACCTGCCGCTCGATCTCCGTCTTTTGGAAGTGTGCGTATCGATACGGATGCACGTGCACTGCTCGACCTTCCTCGACCAAAGGTATGCGGTGGTCGAACTCTCGGTGTGGCGGCAGTCCCTTGGGCTCGTCGAGGACCTGGTCGAACTCCTTGAGCAAGTCACGCACCTCGCGCTGCCTCTTCTCGACCACTTGGTCGAACTCCTCGACCACCTCCGCGTCCTTGCCTGTCTGCTCGACCACGACAGCGTACAACTGTCCGCCACCTCGCCACACCTTCTCGATGCTTTTTAGACCAACCTCCTTGGTTGCCCCTTCACTAGCCTTCAAGGTAACGAGTTGATCACCGGCCTCAAACTTCATCACACCCTTCCAGTAATTAGTCGTCACATCTCCTAGTCCCTCGAGCCACTGCACCCCAAGCACCACATCCGGTCCCACCAGAGGTAAGGAAAACAAATCCGCCTTCACCGTCACTCTTTGAAACTTGATCGGCACGCCCTGATACATCTCCGAGCACCGCAAGCGCTCGCCATTTGCCACCCTAACCTCGAACGGCTCAATCGTGGTCGTGGGCAACTTGAGTTTGTGTGAGAGAGTTGCATTAATGAAATTATGCGACGACCCATTGTCCACGAGTACCGTAACCCGCCGATCCTTCAACCATGCCGGTAACTTCATAGTCCTCGGGCCTCTAGTGCCCGCCATCGCATGGACTGAGATCTCGGCCTCGTCATTGAGCACGTCGACCTCCCGTTCTTCCTCGATCACCGGCTCCTCGTCATCCGAGTCTACGAACTCGATCAAGAAATTCTGCTTGCACCGATGTCCCGGTGTGTACTTTTCCTCACACCGGAAACACAGCCCTCTCTCACGTCTCCGTGCCATCTCCTCCTCCGTCAACCTCTTCACCTCAGTTGCTGGGGGCCTAAATATGCCCGGCGGCCTCGCGTTCGCACTAGGTGCGCCCACGGTAGCCGACACACGCCGCGGCTCTGAGACACGAAAATCCGCCCGTCCCCTTCGAGTCGCGGCCAAGTGATCCTCCCGTCTCCTAGCAACTTCCATGGCCTTATGCATGGTCTCCGGCCTCTCCAATCACACTTCAGCCGTGAGATCATACCTAAGCCCTCCAACAAACGCGCCAACAAGCGCGCTCTCCGGCCACCCGCAAACCCGGCACGCCAATCTCTCGAACTCTTTTTGGTAGTCACGTACACTCCCCGTCTGCCGAATCCGAGTAAGCGCCTCGTCGTGGTTATGATAGTCTGAGTTCCCGAAACGCGTAAGGAGCTCGCGCTCAAAATCTTCCCAGCGGATCGGTTGTTATCGCCCGTGATACACGCGCGTGAGCCACTGCCACCACACGTTGGCTTCACCATCTAAATAGTACGCGGCATACCGAACCCAGTCACGTTGTGGCATCTCATTTAAGTCGAAGAATTGCACCGCCCTGTTCAGCCAAGCGTCGGGGTTGGTTTTCGTGAATGTCGAGAGCACGATCCTCAGCTTCTCGACGCGGGCTCGCTCATGTACATTCGACGCCTGCGACCGCTGTTCGTATTCTTCCTCCTCCTCGAGGTTGTGTTCAGCTTGCTGCTGCTCCTGTTGCCTTAGACGCTCGCGTGCGTTCACCCGTGGTGGCTCCTACTGCTGCTGTTGTTGAAACTCGCGCAACACCTCCTCCAGGCGCTGCTCGAGACGAGCCACGGCAGCATTGGTGCTGATCTGGCCCTCGTCGAGCGATCCAAACCGACCCTCCATGCTCTCGCTTATGGCCTTGAATTGGCCTTCTAAGCCTTCCACCTTTTCCTTCAACTCATGATTGGCCATATCTTTTCTGGCTTGCCTATGTTCTCGACTTCCCGGACTAATTTTGATTTTTTTTTTCTGACTTTTGACGATTTTTTTTTTTTGAACGAATGAAAATTAAGAAAGAAAAATTAAAGAGAATGGGAAAGGAAAGACACACGATCGACTCTCTCAATGAAAGCACCAATGATAAAGACCGTGTGTCTCAATTGTCGACAAGCCGCTCCCGCGCCTTAAATCGCTCGATATGTGTTAGGAAGTCGCACACTCGCAGCCTTTCTAACGATTATAATTGCAAAATTATTCAAGAAGAAAACTAGAGCAAAGAGTTTGAACAAAAGTTCAGATTTTTGTATTGATTTCTGAATGATTAAATTAACAAGAGGAAGGGCCTTTATATAGGCATCAACTATATGTAGTCCTAATATAACTATAACTCTAATAAAGCTATAAAATATTAAGTGTCCTAAATAATCTAGATATCATAAAGCAATAAGGAAACTAAATATCTAGGGAATCTAACGTCTTGGCTTGCACTCCAAGTCCATGTTTCCTAATCGCCCAAGCACTAGGGATTCATCTTCCATTCCCGCGCATGCGTCCAGCAGGTCGCCTAATCCTCGCGCGCCTAGGCAAGTTCGCGCGTGCATCCCGTCGCTTGCGCGTTCAAACCCGCGCTCGGCCCCGATAATATCGAGTGCGTCATCTTCCGCACGCGCTTGCCCATCCGCGTATCGCGCCTCTCCGGCACGACGACTTAGCCTCCTTCGCGCATGCCATGCGCGACTCGCTGCGTTCTTGAGCCTTCTCGCCGTGTCCGCATCACCAGTCATGCCAGCCAGCGCCCATGCGCACATTCATGTGTCCAGAGGTATGTGGGGACGCCCGGTAGCGCCCAGCAGCACCAATCGCGCAAGTGCCAGCGCCCAGCGGCAGGTCCGCGATGCGCCAGTCGCACGTTAGGCTCCCAGGTCACGTCCAGCTGGCCCAGGCTAGCGCCTGTCGTGCCAGCAAGAGTCATGCCATGTCCAATAACACCGTCGCACACCAGCGGCCAAACCCCACTCAGTTCCGGCAGCGGCCGGAACCGCAACCTCAGCAGGCCATTGGTCGAGCCAGCGGCCGACCGCCCGGCCACCACCACCGGCGGTCCGGCCAGACCGGTTCAGATCTAGTTCGGACCAGTTTAAACTGGTTTGACCCATATTTTAAATATTTAAATCCCGGTTCATGTTTAGGTCCCATTTTCAGTTAAAATTACGGGTCCAGTTCAATTCAGTAAATTTATATCAGTTCAGTTCCGTATTTAACCGGTTTCAGTTCAGTATTTTCAGTCTAGTCAGTTAGTCAGTTCAATTCAGTATTTCAGATAAATTTTCAGTTCAGTCAGTTTAGTCATGATCAGACATGTGCAGTCAGTTCAGTTCAGTCTAGCAGTACCAGTTCAGTCCAGTTTTTCTTATCAGTTAAGTTAGACCCCGAGAGGGTTCCAGTTAATTATTCAGATCGAGTCGAGCATCTTAACAGCTATTTTAATCAGTCTGAGCATAGTACTTAGTAATTGTTTATATATGTCGCAGTTTTGCAGGCAATCAGCACTTACATTTTCAGATCAGCATTACAGGTGGGGACTCAGACTGGGTATTACATTGATTATAATTACGCTACCATTTTTTACGTATGTATTATCAGTATCTGCTCGGAATGGTCGTCGGTCCATTCTGGGTTCTAGTGGCCTTAATCTGCCCACTAGAGTGTGCACATGGTGTCCGACATTTATGCTGGTAGATGTTCAGTTATCAGTCAGGTGATGTTATCACGAGATCAGTATCAGATTATTCAGTACCGGTATCAGTATCAGTTTCAGTTTCAGTTCAGTATCAGTTCAGTTGTATATGCCAGGATCATGATATTGTTATTATTTTCACTGTTTACTTTAGTATGAGTTTCTGCGGAGCACAGTGGATTAGTGCTCACGCCCCCACACTATTCATGTTTTTCAGGTCGCAGAGTCGGAGCCGAGGAGTGAGCTGGAGACCGGTTCAGAACATTTGTATATATGAATATTGTTTTGGCTACACTACAGTTTCCGCTACTATTTCGTTCAAAAACGTGGAGGAAAATAAGGGTAAATATGGGCAAGTACGAAAATGTACACAACGTCTCTGGAAAGACTTGTTTTCGAACACGACACCATTATTTGATGTGGATAACATATATTTATCGCCCTATCATGTTTTAAAGTACAATCGTACACGTTTAAAAAAGTCGAGAAAAATAAGGACAAATAGGGGCAAGTACGAAAATATACGCAACCTCTCCAGAAAGACTTGTTTTCGAACACGACACCATTATTTGATGTGAATAACATATATTTATCGCCCCATCGTGTTTTGAATCAAAATCGTACACGTTTAAAAAAGCAGAGGAAAATAAGGGTAAATAGGGGCAAGTACGAAAATGTACGCAACGCCTCTGGAAAGACTTGTTTTCGAACACGACACCATTATTTGATGTGGATAATATATATGTATTGCCCCATCGTGTTTTGAAGCAAAATCGTGCACGTTTAAAAAAGTCAAGGAAAATAAGGGCAGATAGGGGCAAGTACGAAAATGTACGCAACGTCTCCGGAAAGACTTGTTTTCAAACACGACAATATTATTCGATGTGGATAACATATATTTATCGCCACATCGTCTTTCGAAGCAAATTTTTACACATTTAAAAAAGTCGAGGATAGTAAGGGTAAATTTGGGAAAGTATGAAAATTGTAAGCAACGTCTCCGGAAAGTTGTTTTTGAACACGACACCATTATTTGATGTGGATAACATATACTTATCGTCCCATTGTGTTTTGAAGCAAAATCATGCACGTTTAAAAAAGTCGAGGAAAATAAGGGTAAATGGGGGCAAGTACGAAAATGTACGCAATGTCTCCAGAAAGACTTGTCTTCGAACACGGCACTATTATTTGATGTGGATAACATTTATTTATTGCCCCATCGTGTTTTGAAGCAAAATCGTACACGTATAAAAAAGTCGAGGAAAATAAGGGTAAATAGGGGCAAGTACAAAAATGTACGCAACGTCTCCAGAAAGACTTGTTTCGAACACGGCACCATTATTTGATGTGGATAACATATATTTATCGCCCCATTGTGTTTTGAAGCAAATCGTAGACATTTAAAAATGTCGAGGAAAATAAGGGTAAATAAGGGCAAGTACGAAAATGTACGCAACGTCTCCTGAAAGACTTGTATTCGAACACGGCACTATTATTTGATGTGAATATCATATATTTATCGCCCCATCTTGTTTTGAAGCAATATCGTACACGTTTAAAAAAGTCGTGGAAAATAAGGGTAAATATGATCAAGTATGAAAATGTACGCAACGTCTCTGGAAAGACTTGTTTTCGAACACGACACCATTATTTGATGTGGATAATATATATTTATCGCTCTATCGTGTTTTGAAGCAAATCGTACACGTTTAAACAGTCGAGGAAAATAATGGTAAATAGGGGCAAGTACAAAAATATACGCAACATCTCCGGAAAGACTTGCTTTCGAAAACGACACCATTATTTGATGTGGATAACATATATTTGTCGCCATCGTGTTTTGAAGCAATATCGTACACGTTTAAAAAAGTCGAGAAAAATAAGGGTAAATAGGGGCAAGTACAAAAATGTACGCAACGTCTTCAGAAAGACTTGTTTCCGAACACGAGACCATTATTTGATGTGGATAATATAAGGGTAAATAGGGGCAAGAACAAAAATGTACGCAACGTCTCCGGAAAGACTTGTTTCGAACACAGCACCATTATTTGATGTAGATAACATATATTTATCGCCCCATTGTGTTTTGAAGCAAATCGTAGACATTTAAAAATGTCGAGGAAAA